AGCTTCCAGCGCCAGCTCAACTACTTTGGTTTCCGCAAGTGGACCAAGACGCAGTCGCACGTGTGCACGTTCAGCCACCCCGAGTTCAACCGCAGCTCGACGCTTGAAACGACGCCGATCGCCCGCAAGCGCGAGGGGTCGCCGGCGTCATCATCGTCGCGGTCCTCGTCCTCGTCGCCGTCCATGTCGCCAATGACGATGGTCGAGAGTCTGTCGGTGATGGAGCTGCCGTCGCTCGACCTTCTCGAGGACCTCTTTGCGTCGGACGTGATCAAGCACGAGGACGAGGACATGGACGCGGCCGACTGGGCGGTGTGCGCCGACCTGCTGGACAGCTGCGATAGTGACATGGCGTGGCTGTCGACGCTCGACTGTAGCATTATGGTCTAACGCGAACCAGGCAAATTGATATGTAACTATTTATGATAAATTCAAATGGGCAAGTACTCTAGCACTAGTGGATCGACTGGTAGGATTAGAGTGCATTAATCACAACGGAGGTATTATAATGACTGTACTTTAAGCGTCCGCCGTAGTATGGTGGTTTAATATACGATTACTTGTTAGTACTACTCCTATGGGTCTTTTCAGTGCAGCTCGCGGTTCTCGACGCAGCTGCCGCAGTACCAGTTGCCGGACGGGATCTCGGCGAGGCCGATGCAAAACGTGTGGTATGCTGCGTCACACGAGTCGCAGAGCAAAAGCTCTGTTATGCGCTCGTCGCGCTTGCAGCTCCGGCACTGCTCATCGCTCGGAAGCGCTGTCGCGGGCGTCCCTGGCGGCGTCTTCTGCACCCACGCCTCAAAGAGCCGATGGAAGACAGACCGGAGCCGCCGGGCCATCAACGAGAGCTCCGCCTGGCGTGTGTTGAACGTGAAGCAGTTGGTCCAGATGCGATCCATGTCGAGGCACAAGTTGCCGTACTGGCTGGTGTACGCGCCTTGTCGCAGCTTGGTCTCGATCGTGTGCAGGTCCATCGGGCAGCCAATCACTGAGCTATATGTCGGCACCACGGCCGTGTCAACAGGCTGCAAGAACGGGCCTGCGACTGGGTTCTTCTTGAGAGTCTCGAGGAGGAGCTGGAGCCGTTCTGGGAGCTTTGGGTCGTTGGCCACCGCAGGTGGGATGCCGTAGTGGCCCGTCTCCATTACAAATCGGTACTCGAGGTTCTTTGGTTTCCGACCTCGTAGCTTGGCCTTTTTCATCGCCACGTTCGTGACCGACCCCGACGTCGACGACGACACGGCCGACGGCAACTTGCGCTTGAGGTCGTCCGTGGCCGCTGGCACGGGAGCTGCACTGCTGCTTGCACTAACCGACTGCTGCGCTTCGCGGCACTGGGCATACCACTTTTGAAGCGCGGCGTCCGGAAGCTGCGTCATGGCGCGCAGATCTTGCATTGTCTAGGCGTTTCATGCTTAGTACACGTCTCGTAGACGCAGATGCACTACCTTGTGATAGACTTCGGTGGTCGCTGGGAGGGCGAGACTGGCTTGCATTCGGTTGCGTGCCTGGGCGGCCACGGCGGGACTCAGCGCGAGCAGTTCTGGACAAGTCGGCATGCCAGCGTACACGGCCGCCGACGACGGCCGCGGCGGTTGCATGGGCACCGGCGCCGCCTTGCGCTTCGGCACTGGCTTCTTCATTGGCTTGATGTACGAGAGCGCGTCGTCGAGGGCGTGGATACGCATTGCCGCCGATGCCAGCGTGGCGGTCGACAGCATCGCTTTGGGCGTCAAAAGCGGCTGCGCCTTCCACTGTGCGTCGAGAAACTCACTGTCAACATGGCACTCGAGCACGAACGCAGCTTCGAGGAGCGACTTGGCGCCACTGCCGCGCACGACCATTTCAGCCCACGCCACGCGCAGCGGTGTCGTCCACTTGCCGTCACGGAAGGCGTCGCGGGGGAGTGCGGCCTCGATCGCGAGTAGCTGCGCCTTCAAGAGAGCGATCAGGTGCCCGTCACCCTCGACCTTTTGGAGACCCGGGACGCTGTCGGTAGCCCACTCGCCTTGGTGGCCGGCACCAGCGACATAGTGTGCGGTCGAAACGGGTAGCGCGACATTGGTCGCGAGCACCGAGTCGGGCTTTTTGGAGACGCGCGACGAGCGGCGCCCACACAGGCTCGCGAGATGCGTCGACTCAGTCTTCTTCACCGGTGGTTTCTTGGCCGAGCCCTATCATGTTGACAACGTTTGGTGAGCGCCACGTGTTGGAAAGATGGTATAAGTACCGTGTTGGCAACAAAGTCAACGCCTGGCGGCCCCGACCGGAACGCTTGCGGGTTGTAAAACTGCGGATCAAAAAACGCCGAGGACGGGTGGAACTCGGCCCCTTGCGTTGGCGCTTGCATCTCAAACCCCGGGAACGGAGCGGCGTACATGTTGTAGTACATGTTGTTGGGTGCCGCCGTTGTTGCACCGTTGGAGGCTGCATACATGGCCGTCGGATCGGTGGCGGCCCACATCGCCGTGGCGTCGGGCGCCGGGTACATGCCTTGGCCATACATCATCGGGTTGAGCATCGGCGCGGGCGTGAAATCGGCAAACTCCGTGTTTGGCGCTGCAAAGTACCCCATGGGCGGCGCACCATTGAGATATCCCTGGCTTGGCGCGTCGAAAAGTGGGCCAAACGCTGACGCCGGGTCCATCGGCAGCGACACTATACGTGGTGTTGCATCATACATATCGATGATCCAGGTCTACATGCAAACGTACGTTTGTCGGTCTCGGATGGCGCAGGCGCTGGCGTCGCGTTCGCGGCCGGTGCTTTGGCCGGTGGTGCCGCGTTGGATTGGCGTCGGAACGTGATCAAGAGCGGCCGGATGCCGGACGTCACAGCCTGTTTGAACCCTTCGATGCCGATGACAGAGACGGGCTCGTGGTTGACGGCGACGATCATGTCTCCAATGTTGACAACGCCACTCTTGATCGCTTGGCCTTGCGGATCCGACGAAAACGACGACACCATGATCGAGTCGACTTCTTGCTGGATGATGATGCCGAGCGGCCCGTGCGTAAAACTCACGACCACGTCGTCCGGGCTCGGGTTCGTTGGCGGCACACCGTTGGGCTGTGCCGTTGGCGGGTACTTGGGGATCGCGCCCGGGTTTTCATGCGGCTTGGTCGGCTCTGGCGGTGGCGAAGATGCGGCAACAGCACCCTTCATGATTTTCTTGACCTGCTTCTCGTACGCGGTCTGACACGTCTGGAGTTTCCAAAGCTCCTGCGTGAGCATGATCGGCAGCGGCGTAAAGTGCTGCTTGGGCTGCGACGTGCTCAGCATGGCAAAGAGTGGGCGACACGTCGAGTTTGGCTGCAGCGCGCCGTTGGCGTCGTGCAAATAGAGCGACGAGAGGAAGAACGTCTGGATCGTGCTCAACATGTTCTGCACGTCGGGCGGCACGAGCGCGTGGGTGCTCCAGCCGCTCAGCGCGTTGTAGAACCCGACGCACTTTCCAATCGCAACGTCGTGTCGGGTCGGGTGCATCGTCGCATCCAGCGACGAAAGCACAACGTGACACGCGCTTTGCAACACTTGAAGCTCCATGGGCGAAAACGGCGTCGACGGCGCCTTTGCCATCGCTTGCAACAGCAAAATCGACACGATGACCATGACGACGGCGTGGTGCAGTGCGACAAACGAGAGCGGGTTGGGCGCGTCGCCTGGGTGCCGCGAGAGGTGCGTTGCCAGCACGTTAAGCGCCGTGAGCGTGTTCTGCAGCCCTGAAATGAGACCCGCACTCGTTTCGGCCGACTTGCCGTGATACAGGTTGGACCACGCTTGCGACACGAGGCTCTTGTGCTCCTCCAGCGCCTGAATCTGCTGCAAGAGACGCGACTCTTTTGTCTTTTGCTTCTTCTGCGACGGCGACGCGTGGGTCGATGACGGCGGGGACGACGACGGTGTTGGACGCTTCTTGGTGTGCTGGAGTTGCTGCTGTTGTTGGTGCTGGTGTTGCAGCTGCTGTTGTTGCTGCTGGTACTGCTGCTGCTGGTACTGTTGTTGTTGAAGCTGCAGTTGGTGCTGCTGCTGTTGCAGCTGGAGCTGCTGCATTTGCATCTGATGCTGCAGTTGCGGCTGGTGCACGTGCTGCTGCTGCTGCTGGAGCATTTGCTGGTACTGTTGCTGCTGCATATGGCGATGATGCTGTTGTTGCTGTTGTTGTTGTTGTTGTTGCTGCTGCTGCTGCTGCAATTGCATCGGCGACGGCCTGGGGCGCGGCACCGAGATCTGCGGCGGCTTGACCGGCGGTGCTCGTGCGCGAATGCTGTACCGCAGCAAATTTTGCAGCTCGAGCGTCAAGAGCGACTCGTGGCGCCGCGTGCCCGCGAGCCGCCGGAGCATGTCTTCGGCCTTGAGCGTCGGCAGCTGCAATCGCGGAAACGTCGAGTTGGTGAACGGCGCGAGAAATTGCTGGTGTGACTCGTAGCGCAGACAACAGACGCTGTACGCCTTTTCAGCATCCGCGAGCGACCCAAACGTCCCGAGGTAGTACTGCCGGCCGCAAAACATCACGTACGCTTCGTGCTGCACCACCGGGTCGCCGACCGACGAAATAAGCGGACGCATCGAGAACGGACCGGTTTTGGGCAACGCAATCGGCGCACAAAGCGCGTCCAGTCGTGCCGCAAGCGCTTTGTCGTCCATTGCCGCCGTGTACGCCGCCACCTATACACAAGCAATGACGCCAAACGACGCATGGAGTCCACTAAGTACCTGCAGAATCTTGGACCAAACGCCGTCATGGAACCGATACAAAACTCGCGGGTCGCCACCAAAGTGAAAGTACTCGTTCCCGACCGTCATGGTGCGCGGCCCGACGTGACGCAAAAACGACTCGAGCGACTTGGTTGCGAGCAGCTTCGCGTGTATATCGTCGGCTGCCTCAAGAGCGTCGTTGAGAACGTTGACACACGACGCGTGAATTTGAACGTCAACGTCTGCTGGGATCCGAGGCAGCACGGTCACTTCCATTTCCTTCTCGAGCGGCAGTTGCTGAAGCAGCGACTGGAGCCATGCGAGGCGCATACCGCAAATATCGACGCGATTGAGCTGCACGAGCGTATCGCCGGGCGCGACTCCAGGAAGGGCCACGCCGCCCGTCGAGCGCACAATGAGCCGGTTGTCAAAGTCGATGATCTCGCACCGGACAAGGTGCGCCGCGAGCAAGTAGGTCGTGTGGGGTGGGCGGCCCTCGGACGACGACGGCGCCGGTGCGGCGCCAGGTCGTACGAAACCGAGCGTGATCGGGCGCGGAAGGCGTCGAATGAGATCCGTAAAATCCGTGAGCTCTTTGAGTTGCCCGAGGGACTTGCCTTGAAGCGATACAATGAGGTCCCCTGGCTCGATGCACTTGCTCGCCGTCGCTTGGCTCATGGCCGTGAGCGACCGCACATATACCTTGTGGTGCTCAAGCTCGAGCGCGAGACCGAGCGGTCCGGGTGCAAACTGGACTTCGTACGCATGGCACTGCAGGATTTGTGACGCGACCGCGTCCGGCGACATCTTGGACGGCAACGTCGGAACCATCGGACCATGCCGGCGCGGAAACGCGTTGCGTAAAAGAAGCACCGTGCTTTGTGGTCGCCAGAGCTCACTGGCCGTCGCGGCCGACGTCACGCGCGACCCGTTGATCGCATACACCACATCCCACGGGAAGAAAACGCCGCTGAGAGCGCAGAACCCCGTGAGCGTTCCCGGGAGATGCACGTGGCCACTTGTCTCAACGAGTGATGGCGCATCCAACGAGACACTTGGCAGTTGCACGAGCGCGTACTCGGACCGGGGTACGACGGCGCTCTTGGCACAAGAGTAGACGACCAGCGGGCGCGACGTTGTGCGAAGTTGCTCAAGAATACGCGGGGCGTCGGCGTTCAGCGGGACTTGGAAGGCATCAAAACCGAGAAGCACGTCGCCGTCCGTGAGACCCGACCCGTCGTTTGCCCCCGACACGACGAGCTGCCCGTCGCTTTCCAGCACAACGCCCTCAAACGGCAGCGCGTCATCGGCCCAAATGCAAATGTTCCACTCGACGTCCAGCGTCGGCTCTGAAAACGTCGCAAGTGTCTTCGAGACGCAAAGTGTCTCGGGCGCCTGCCACGCTGCCTCTAGCGGCCCGAGGACACTACCAGCGGGTTGCTGGCAAGCGATACACACTCGCGCGTCAATGTCATCGATCGACTCTGTTGGCAGCCCATGAGCCATCAATTTAGCGTCGCCATGCGCTTCCAGAATGGCCACTGCCCAGTCTTCGTCTTCCTCTTCGTCCTCGCTGTGCGAGTAGTAGTCGCTCTGAGGCTCGGCTTTCACCGTCGACTCGTCAAAGTCGAACGGCGCGGGCAGCGACGTGTGCTCGAGCTGCGCGTGGCACCTCGCCTTGAGATATGCGAGGAGGTCGTCCGAGAGGTCGCGCGGCTCACCGTCGATGGTCAGCGTCTCGGTGGCTCGAACGCTCGGGAGTCGAACATGGCCGAATCGGCTCCAGTCACGGACACAGTCGGCGTACGAGGCTGCGAGTGCCCGGCGCTGGTCCTCGGCGTGGTCTTCGACGATATGCATGATACTAGCAAATGGTAAATAAGCATGCACAATGCATCGACGATGGGTTACCTCTGCACGGCCGACGTCGATTGCACGAGTTCGCAAAGCGTCGTGAGCACAAGAAGGCGGTCTTCGAGCGTCTATACAACGATGTTTACCACAGCCCTAGGTACAATGAGTGGAACGCACCAGCTCCGCGTACGAGTCCTTAGACAAGAGCCGAACAACGTGCGCAAGGCCCGACTCGAACTGCGCCAAGTCACTTTCGCTGACGTCGTCCTCCGACTTTTCAGGCGGCGGAGGCTGCAGCGGCGCGCAGTCGGGGCAGTACCACTCGCCCTTCGGAATCGACGCGAGCGGAGGCGACGTGCACACGGTGTGGTACGGCGCATCGCACCGGTCACAGAGAAGGAGCTGCGCTTTCAAAAAGACGCCGTGGCACTGGCGGCACGTGTCTTCGACCTTGGCAGAAAAGTTGGATGCCTCTGTGTGTACAAAGTCGCGGCACAGCCGGTCAAAGGCCGCCGAGAGCTTTCGCGCGAGCTTCGAGATGTCGGCCTGCTCGCCGTTGTACTCGTAGCAGTTCTTCCAAATGAGCTGGACGTCGTCAACGACACCATCGACGTCGTCGTCGCCGTCGTACTCGTTGTCTCGAATCTTGTCTTCGATCGTTCCGAGGTCCATGGGCTCGGCGATGATCGTATAATAGTCAGGATACAAATCTGCGTCGACGGGGTGGCTAAACGGCTGCGCAGCGTCCTTGGCTACATCATGGGCTTAGCATCCAATCGGATTGCGATCAAGATCATGTACCTTGCAGGATCTTGAGCACCGTTCCGAGTCGTTTGAGTTTACTCGACGTGCTTGACGCTTTCGGCTTGGCTGGCACGGACGCCACGAGCTCTGCTTTGGCAAAAATGCACCCAAACGGCGCTGTCATGTCCTCGACCATCTCGTCCAGCTCTTGCAAGCTCGTCAGCGGTGGGATCTATCATCAAGCATAAGAACTCTGTGATTTCGGTGCCAAAATGCAGTACCTCGATGCCGTTGATGCAGAGAAGTTGGTCGTTGATGCCAACTTTGTCTCGTAGTGCAGCGTCGGCCGTCTCGGGCACGCGCTCGACGCGTATCGTACCGTCCACTTGTGTCCACGTGAGGCCCCACGCATCCCACAGTGCAGGAACGACAAGGCTATAGCAGGGCTCGATCGTAGGCGGCGGCGACGCGGCCTCGGTCATCGTGGGCGGCAGCGCCGGCACAGCGGCCGGGTTGGCGGCGAGGAGCTCGCGGCCGCGGCTGATGAGCGTCTCGCGCATCGGCAGGACGCTGCTTTCATTGGACGACTTGCTGCCCTTGAGCATTTTGATAAAGTTGCCGTCGACATCGCCGCGGTCCACGTCGAACGCTACCATGCACACGTGGCGTGCGACTTCGACCCACGTCATGACGTTGAGAGGCCGCGTCTTCTTGTAGTCGGTAACCGAGAGCTGCAAGTACGGCGTGTACTCTTGGAGCAGCACGTCGAGCAAAAGGACGTGCAGAGTCGCGAGGCACCGGCCATGGCTCATCTCTTCCATGATCGAGTCGCCGTTCGGGAGCGATCCGTCGTGGAGCGCCACCACGTGGCACAAGTAGGCTAGCGGCGGCACCGCCCGGAGCCGGAGCACGTCCGCGTACTGGTACAAAAAGTCCCACACCCACAGCAGTTGGCGCTGTACGTCGGGTGTAAACGGCGTCAAAAAGTCCAACGGTGTCGTCGCACTCGATGGCGACACCGGGTCGGCGAGTGGCGTCGGCGGTGGCGGCTCGATCCGCGTCGCTTCAATGTGCGTTTTGGCCAGGTCATGCGCCGCGACGAAGGCGAGATGCCGCGTATGCGCCGCTGCGAGCTCCTTGCGCTTGGCGATCTCGTCGTCGACAAACTGCAAGAGGACATTGGTCTTGTTCACGTCCATGGATGACCGCCAGTTGATACCAGTCGTTCGCAGTGCCTCTTGCTCTTTGAGCAGCTGACGCCGCTGCCGGAGCGCGTCGATCTTCTTTTGCATCGATGCTTGCTGCTTCTGCTGCGTCTTTAGCGCCTGCTGTTGCCGCTTCTTGGTTGCAGACACTTGCTCTTGCTGGGCTTGAAGCGCCTTTTCTTCTTCGTACATTTGCCGCGCCTTGGCGCGAATCGCTCGCTTCTCCCGCTGTCGTGCTTCGTCCTGCGCTTCGAGCTGCTTCGTCAGCGCCGCCTTCTGCGTCACGAGGTCGGTCGCGCTCATCGTACGGCCGTCGCGCGCGTCCCAAAAGAGGTAGCCATCGCATTCAAGCACATGCGGAAGACCTTCCAACGTGCGCGCAATGTTCTCTCGTTGCAGACCAAACCCATCGTGGACGGTCTCGGAGGTCGCGCCCGTCGCCTCGCGCCAGTGGTTCTTCTCGTCTTCGGATGCGTCGTCGAGGAACGTCATTGCCTTTGCCCATGCTTTGGCGGTCGTATACGAGCGGAACGCAATCGCGGGCGCCTTCTCGAGCTGCACCTGGAAGACAGGTCCTTTCTTCGCGTCGTCCTTTGCAAGTTGAATGCTGCAGCGCCACGCGATCCCGTCCACGAGCGCCCGCGTCTCGTACCCGATCGGGAACAGCTCGCTCGTCGTCCAGGACCCTGTTGTCTCGAGCTTGAGCTCGCCAAGCGCTTGCACCGAGATCGGGCCGTCGACGAGCTCGCCCGAGCGCTCAAAGAGCTGTCGACGCAGCATGGCGATCGCGTGCAGCTCCTTTCTCCCGTTGCGCTCGTCGCTGCTGCGGGATGGACTCGACGTCGTTGACGTGCTCGTGGCGAGGGTCCTTGCATGTCGATCGACGTCGTCCATCTCGGCGTCCGACGGGTTGCCAGCCTCGTCGTCGTCGCTGCTCGGGGCAAAGTCTTCGTCCGATGCACCTTCATCGAGGCTCTCCTCGTGGCTGTCGTCCATCTCGTCGGCGCTCGCTCCATGGAGCTCGTCCATACTGCTGCTACTGCTGCTGCTCATGACCCCTCGCGCGATCTGCCGCAGCCCGCGCGGATGTCCCGGCGTTCTAATTACAAGTCCAGGCCACCAACTGCTCACCTCGTTAGAAGAACCGCATGTTTCGCGCGATCTGATTGGCTCATCGGGATGTTCCCGCCACTTGGGAACCACACGCACCATTGAATTGCGCGTCTTTTTATTCCTACGTAAAGCTTCAACAACCTGTAAATGCTATGGAATGGGGTCGCGACTGGCCATTAAAATACGATTAATATTATGTGCGCGACTGTTTCGGCGCGTGGCAACTGCAGTATGTGCAAAATGGACAAATTGACCACAAGGAAGGTCGTAAGACCGTCCTTATGCTTATACAGGACCACAAGGAAGGTGGTCGCATGGACGCTAGTCCGAGGGGTACTACCCTACGGGCCAACGAAAGAGCCTGGCGTAGAGATCTGTAGCCTCCAAACCATGCTAGAGACGGGCAGGTATCGATCAACTCTCCTCATTCTAGTGTCGACGACGTGGCGTTCGCACACAATAATCGAAAAATGGGCATTTCGGGGTGACAAGGAGTTGGCTGCGTCTCGCAAGCTACGTCATGCCATTGCGTGTTTCCAGCATGCGTCGTATGCCACCGAAGGAGCGAACGATCTGACGTCTCACATTGACGGGGTGGTGGTACCGACGCTTCGACCGCTGTAGTACAGTGTAGGGGCGCGAGTAACTAATACTGTAGTTGCCCTGAGACCGCATGTTTGCCCATGAATTGTTGGTCATTATTGTCGTGCAGTTTCATTCCATGGAGCAGTATCCGGCATCTGAAAAGCGATCTTTCTGGATTTCGTCGTCGCCCATTCCAACTGACGAGGTATGGGCAGCGCAGGCAGCGTCTTGGACGGTGTCACAATGGCGCCAGTCGCGCCGCCCTCGTCCCCGTACGCGACGCACATTCCGTCGACAATGACGGACAATAATGCGCCCGCCGCCCAAGCGCGGGTGATTCTCTCGATTCATGGCCATGACGCGACGATCCGCTGCACGCGCGCCGACATTTCGCCGGCGCACCACGCCATTTCGCACCGATGGCAGGACCGAAAGGAGACGCAGACCTTCACGGTGCACTGCGACAACGAGCCGCCGTATGTGTGCGAACTCCTCGACGCCGAAGTCAAGAACCTCGAAGCGCTCCTCTCGCGGCTCGGCCCAGGCCTCTGGCTCGACTACGTGTGCATTGACCAGAGCAGCAGCGACGACAAGGTCGCGCAGGTCAACATCATGGGCAACATTTACGCGAATGCAACGTCCGTCGTGCTCGGTCCGTACCTTCGCCTCGAGATGCCACCGCGCGACTACCTCGAGCGCGCGTGGTGCTTTCAGGAGCGCATGTTTGGCCCGATCAAGTTTCTCTGGGACATGTCGGCGACCGACTTGAGCTACCTCATTGCGTTCGCCAACGACGTGGCGATGCGCGTGCCCGGGCTCCAAGAAGCCTTCTCGTTCATCAACCGCAACTTTGACTGGAACGAGCACTGGCGCATCGGGGCCTTGCACAAGATTGGGCGCGAGGATTTCCCGCAGACGCGGCACCTCTGCGATCACCTCGAGCAGCTCATCAACGCCCCACGCCACGAGGCAAACCAGCGAGAAATGGCCGAGACCGTGCTCCGCATTCGCGAAGCCGTGCCGTGCACGCATGCCGCCACGTACAGCGAGTGGAACCTCTTCATTTTCGACTGCCAAGCCAGCATCGAGAAGGACCGCCTTTTTGGCACATGGGGCGTGCCGCTGTACCAGTCGCACCTCCAGCTCTCGTACGAGTACCCGGATGCGACGTGGCACCTCATTGCGACGACGTACCCCGACGCAGACTATGCGTTTCACGCGCCCCACAGTGCGCCAGGTCGGCCCCACGGTGGCTTTGCCGGGTTTGCGACCACGACGCAGCTCGTGTGCCACATCATGCAGCACACGCTCCTGACACCGGGCACCCATGCACAGCAGCCACTCGGCGCCGAGAAGTTTCGGTTCACCGACTCGAACGAAGTTGCGACGCTCGCGTGGGACGAGCAGTACATTGGCGTCGCCTGGCCGCACCAAACGTTCCACTTTATCGTCTCCAAAGAGTGCCTGCGCCGCGGCAAAGGCCTCGGGGGCGAGGCTGGTCCGACCAAGAAGTTTATTCATTTGATTGAGCGCCTCCGAGCGCTGGGCTGCAACATTCCGAGCTGGAAAGTCCCGTTCGACTTGAAGGCCCGCCTCGAACAGCTTGCCGACACGACGTAAAAGTGAAAAAACACGTTATTGCTCTGTGCTCTTGAATATAGACCAGCGATATGCATGTATAACTCGGCTCGTGCAGCAGCGATGTTAATGCAGAGCGGGTGGTGTTGGGTAATGTATGCCCAAGAGGCGCGAGTTGGGAGATTCAAGGTGGGACATAGATGCCGTATGAAGAGTCGAGCACGTCATGCGGTCGAGCCATAAACACACTGCTACCTTGTAGCTCAGAGCTCCGCTAGCTCCTCCTCGTCGGTGCTCTGGACTGGTGGCAAGGATACGACCGATCAACCGGATGGTGCGTATCGATTGGCTAAAATCAGGCAAATCACGCGGCTTTGATTATAATACATCGCTTTGATTGGCTTGAATTTAATCCAATCACGTACATCGGATCGCACCGAGCAAAATAGCGATCCTGCAGCAGCGGCCACCAAGATCGACACGACTGCCTCCAGCTCACTGCTGTACGCTTGCTACAATATCAATTGACCAGCTACCTCTAGCGTGGAAGCGACAGAGTCAGGCTCTTTCTGGGCGTCGTCGACTCTTGGGTTCGTTTGTCAAGGTACTCGGGTCGCAGCTGCGCATCGATCTTCGCGCACCCACGACACGGTCGACGCGTGCGTGGCTGCTTTCACACGCCTGTCGTGGCAAAGACACTGACGAGCATACAAAGTGCAAGCGCAACCTGGTTCTCGTCGTCGACGCGGGTGCTGGCTCCATGCAACAACCCATCCTTGCAGGCGCAAGAAACACGCAACAATCGGGCCTTGCCCGCTTGAAGTTGGCAAGGAATCTTCCGCGTTCGGCACATCGAGCGCTGTCCGCTGCGTTGATCACTTTGCAATCGTCTCGTTCTACACTACAAGACCATGGGTGTTCCCACGACCATGCCCCGCCTCCGCCGGTCGTCGTCCGCGCGCGCCAAAGAAGAAATCGTCGACCTCCACCACCTCGCGCCTCTCGACGCCAAGTGCACGCACGGTGCAATTCCCCGCGCCCAAGTGTACAAGCTCCCGACATCATCGCTGGCCGCCAACAGCTACCTTCCATCGGGCCACAACGCCTACGACGGGTATGTGGGCGACGTTGTCGCCGCGAGCGTCGTTGACGGCACGTGTATTGTCGAAGTTGGTGTCCGGTACTGCCATGCTTCTCATGCTCACTGGTACTCACTATCAAGCATGTTGCCAACTAGGTCAGTGCCAGCGACCACGGCGCTGCTTGAGGCGGCCCAAGCCCTCGGGCACCGCGTGACGTACTGCGCGGTGGCCGACACGGACGACGCATTGGACACGTTTATCGAAGCAGTGTCGTCGGCGTGCCCCAAGATTGAGTGCACGGGTGTCGCCGGCGCCCTCGTCGACTCGCTCGAGCTGCTACCACCGGCGTCGCGACGCACCTACCTCCTCTCGCTCGCGCACTTGACGCTTGAAGAGGCCCACACGGTCTTGGACCCGTTCGCTTCGTCCTACTTGCGCCAAGACGACGTTCTTTTGTGCACGTTCCCGACGTCCCTCGTTGAACCGGACGCGGTCCTTCCAGTACTCACCGACTTGCTCCAGCCTGCCGGTGCGCTCGAGTGCCACAAAGCCTCCTTGAAAGATGCTACGAACGAGTCGCTCTTCCTCAAGGCCGCATCCGTGGACCCCAACACGAAGGACGGCTGGTACCTCATTGACACGGTGCTTGCACCGGCGGCGATTGACGAGCTTCTCAGCCCGTTTTATCCTGCTGCCACGTGGACGAACGCTCAGTACGCCACATACTTGGTCCAGAAACCTCTGTTGACGCTCGAGCCCACGGTCAAAGCGTCGGGGCTCAAGCACGCTCCGTCGCTCGAAGACCTCGAAAACCTCTGGCGCAGCTGGGATGCCAAGGCGACGGCCGCGCCCCGTACGAACCAAGCGCCGACGCTTATCGAATGGGAGTCGCTGTGGACGGCGCTGGACGTCGTCATGCTCCAGATGCTGCCGCGCGACCGCTATCTCGAGGCGCCCGTGGCCGAGCGTCCACCTTTTGTGTACTACATTGGTCATGTGCCGGCGTTCATTGATGCCCACGTCGCGGCAGCGATGGACGAGCCCGTGACGTCGCCTGCCAGCATGCAAGATGTCTTTGGTGCTGACGCCAGCGCCACCGAGTGGCCCGACCTCGAAGCCATTGCGAGCTACCACGAAGACGTCCGCACGCGCATTCGATTGCTCTACGGCAACGGCCTTCCGTCGGAAATGCGCCGTGTGCTCTGGCTCTGCTTTGAACAAAGCGCCATCTTGCTCGAGGTACAACTCTTTCATCTCGCCTTGCCCTTTCTAATATCCTATGTGTAGGCGTTTCTGGCGCTGCTGGTACAATGTGATGGTGTGCAGCCGCCGCCGCACCTCGTCCACCCGCGCTTTGCAGTGCCGGCGCCCGTGGCCCCGGCTTCGTACGTACCGATTCGGTCGGGCGACGTCGTGCTCGGTCACGACGACGTCGACGGCGTCGACGACCACCCGTCGATTCCGTACGGCTGGGACAACGAGCGTCCGTCGCGAACTGTCGAGATCAACGACAGCGCGCTGTACGAAATGCAGTCGCGCCCGGTGACCGTGGCCGAGTATCAAGCGTTTCTCGCCGCCGGCAACGACGAACCAGGTGTACTGCAGCCGGCATCGTGGACTGCCGACGGCGCGCACGTCAAGACCGTGTTTGGGCCCGTTGCGCTCGAGCTCGCAGCTGCCTGGCCCGTCTACGTCTCGTTCGACCAAGCGAATGCCTATGCGACGGCGATCGGCCTGCGCCTGCCGCATGAGGCCGAAATGCTTGCGATGCGTCTTCCCGGGACGGGGCACAACGTCGGTCTGCGCCACTGGATCCCAACGCACGTGGAAGAGAACCCCGCTGGGTGGCACGCGGGGAATGCGTGGGAGTGGACGTGCGACGTCCTTGGGCCCCACGACGGGTTTGCCCCAAGTGAGCTCTGCCCTGTCCACACTGCCGCCTTCTTGTACGTATCTCGAAGTCGATGTCGTGGCACTTATGTCTACTACGCCCTAGTGACGGCGGCCACAACGTGCTCGTGGGCGCAAGCTGGGCCACGCTTCCGCGCATTGCCAACCGGCGCACGTTCCGCCACTGGGCGCCGCGCACCGCCTCGGACGTCTTTGCGACGTTCCGCTGCGTCAAGACGACCGTGTCGCCGCAGTAGGTGTTAGTCGCGCCTCCTTTCTTGTAGTTTATGCATTCATCTTTCCACGTAATCGACTTTGCATTATAACCTCGTTCGATTATGGAGCATTGTGGGTCAAGGTTCATCCACGACAAGTACGAGGGATATATCGCTGAAGCGCACCTGCGACGCTCTACGGTAGGTGCTTCTCGGACCGCAACCAGTCGATCGTCTTGGCAATACTCTCAGCGACGGGTAGCTGCTCGTACCCGAGCTCGTCAATGGCTTTGGTCGACTGCACCGTCGGATCACAGCCCATCGCGAGTGCACCTTCGTACGTGATGTCGGGCTCACGCCGCGTGAAGAGCGCCACAAACTCGTTCAGTCGCCCCACAAAGCGCAGCAGTGGTGCTGGCAGCGGCTGGCGCGTCTCGGATTTGCCCAGAAGCAAACTTGCAGTGTACACAAGCTCCTGGAACGACGCTGTCGGGCCGTGCAAGATGTAGTTGTGTCCGACGCGGCCGCGGTCGGCCGCCGCCACGATCGCGTTGGCAACGAACGGCGCGTACGAAAATGACCCGGCGCCCGGTGGAATTCCCGTCAGCTTCTTGCGCGAAATGAGCGTAAACAAGCGCGCCCAGTTGGCGCTATCGTGCGGTCCGAGAATGTGCGTCGGGTTGACAATCACAGCAGCGAGGCCGCGCGCCACGGCCGCCCGCACGATCTTCTCCGCCGCCGCCTTGGTTCGAAAGTAATGAATCGGCGCCGACGCACCGGTTTGCGCCGTCGACTCATCGATGATGTCGTTGCGATACCCATACGCCGCCGTCGAGCTGACAAACACAAAGCGCTTGGCGCGGCGCGTGAGAGCGGCGTCGCACATGGCAGACGTGGCGTCCACGTTGTCGGCCCACTGCGCCGCGTGCATCGGCTTCCAAAACGTGGTGTTGGCCGCGACGTGGAAGACTGCGTCGACGTCCATCGGCAGCACGGAAGCAATCGATGACGCGTCATGGATGTCTCCAAGCACGCAGTCGACGCCGAGGGCAACGAGCGGTGCGATCTTGGACGACGGGCGATGGAGCGCGATGACGTGCCATGCGTCGTCGCGCAAGAGTGCGTCCACGAGGTTGCGTCCGAGAAACCCGGTGGCGCCCGTGACAAAAGCAATCTTCTTGGCTGGCATCGTACAATGTCGTGGATGGTCAAATGGAAAATGAGGCACTGCGTTTGCACCACAGCGTCGACCCCGACGCCATCGCCCACAACATGCCACGTCATCCGGATAAGAATCCTCCACAGCGACATACAACAACACCGTTCAAGTATCCGGAAACGTGGGATTCGTATCTGGGGGATGATCGCGTCATCCCAAGCGCCAAGTGCGATGGCAACAACAACCATGGACAAACAACCACATGTGGACTTGGAGGCAAGGGCAACTATATACTCGGTTTCAAACTTGAAGTATCGAACCTATATTAACTTAATTGGGCAAGTAATACCGATGACGGTCGTCTCGGAGCACGGGCACGTCGTCGTCGAAGCTGCACTCTCTCGAGTTGTCGATGAATACCATGCGCTCGTTGCTCTTGATGACTGGTGGCACCTTGCGCTTATTGCGCCGAGCGTCGGCTTCCTGGGCCAGTCGCTTTTGCCGCAAGCGACAGCGCAACACGCAGGTGCACAGCAGAAGGACAAAGGTTGCCGCCACGACGCCAATGACAACGTTTCGGCCGGGGCCGAAGTGGCTCATGTCGCCGTCCACGAGCCACTTGGGGGCGTAGCGCGTACAGCGGGGGCCAAGCCAATTGGGCAAACACTCGCAGCGCTGGGCCACGCATCTGCCCGTGACGACGTCGCCGGCAATCGTGCAGTCGTTGTGCGAGTGACAGGGCGCGCGGCCAACCACAGGTGTATCTGGGTTCTTTGCATCCGTGTAGTTGAGGATGTGCGCCTTGATAAACTCTTTAGTTGGGTGTGACGCCGGGTCGCAGCCGACGCTCATCGTCGCCGTGTCTTGCCACACGCGGATGTAGTCAATTTCCATAAACATCGGGAACGAGTTGCACACGTTGAGAGTGACGTTGGTGGGGTTGCCTCGGCAGTTGCCATTGTCGGCGTTTGGCGGTCGCGCACCTAATCGACAGCGCAATGGTGAGAACATAGAGTTTTGGTTAACAGTGAACGGACCCCAGGCGGCGGCGACAGCGACGTTAAAGATGATGTAGCTGGGCTCTTCAATCATGAGCTTCTTTGGGTTGGTTTCACGTCCGCCTTGGGGTGGAGTGGTCAGCGATGCGGACGGAATTTCAAAGATGACGGCGCCATCGAGCATCCATCGGATGTATCCGTCGTCGCCGGTGACCCTAACCCGCACCCATGAGCATTCGAGGAGTTCAACTCAGAATGAGGTACCACTCGAGCTGGTACTTCCAAAACTGAATGTAGTGCTCAAACGTAATGTCCCAGTTGGCCGAGATGGCGTCCATTTGGTACTCAAACGGGTCCATCTGCTTGGTCTTGACGCTGCCGAGGCGCGGGTTGCCGCACTTGGTGCTCGTGCTGTCGGGGTCGCAGAGGTACCCGCCAATGTACCCGTTCGCAACCGGGAAGCACGTGCCCTTGTAGTTGATGCCCCAATGCAGCGGTCCGACGCCATCGATCAGGCCCAAATCAGCATTGACGTCGCGACCGGACGAGATGGTCTTGACGTCAAACGTATTGGAAACAATGCGACCTTTTGCAGCAGCAACGCTCTCGTAGAGCTGGACTTCGACTTGGCGCGGGAGGCAGCGGTTGTTGGCGGCGTACCGAAGGCCTTGGTACCACGACTTGTGCCCGCGGGCTGCAAACGCTGACGTCGGCGCGTCCGGCATGTTGGCGCCGGGCGTCTGGCAATCTTTGTTGTAGTAGCAGTTGATGCTGCCGTGCTCGATCGAGGCGTTGGGTGCGACCCGTCGGTATTCGTCCGGCATCCCGGGGGCGATTTGAATCGAGGTCGAGATCGCCGTGCCGCCGCCTTCGAGAATGTCAATCTCGGGGGCCCCCCGGCCTTGGTGGGGGTTGAGCCCAAACCCGGGGTTCGCGTCGCACGCCGAGATGCGCTGATGGCTGCGATACCGCTCGTCGCACTCGTTGTACGTCCACGGCCACATGCGGTTGGTCGAGGCGGCAAAGAGTGCGCGGCCCAGGTTGCCCATGAGCCAAAGACCCGGCCACGTTGGGTAAAACTGAATGTCGGGAATGCGGTCGTTGGCCGCCAACTTGACCTTTTTCTTGAGCGTCGGGTCGTACCAGCCCGCGATGTGCGGGTTGTACGACTCGGTGTTGAGGGCACCCGGGAGCTTGGCGCTGATCTCAATGTAGCCGCCTTGGAGGCAGAACTTATTCCAAGACTGCACCATGCCGCCGGTGTAGTACTAAGGGAGGCTCAACCACCGTGAATAACACTTTGGCGCGTACCATGGTCTTGGTCTCGTACGACGGCTTGGCGCTCCAACTGTTCCAGTACGAGATCTCGGTGGGGCCTTCGTCGACGCGGATGACGAGCCGCCCGTTCTTGGTGTACACGTTGTGCGGCGTGTAGATCTCCCACGCGCGGTTCACGCCATCGGGGATATCGAGGGCCGACCACAGCGGGTCTTCGCCGGCCGTCAAGTTGCGTCCTTCCTGCTCAAACTCGTCGCTCATGACGAGGGTCCACGTCCCGCCACGAGACGACTGGATCGTGTGCGCAGAATCTGGTGTCGCCGGGTCGACCCAGATACCGATACCCGACTTCGTCGGCAACGAAGTATCGTTTTGGTCGATGGCCAGCGCGGCGGCGCCGAGAAGCACGCCCACACATACCGCTACTTGGTGCATGGCACGAATCTAGAAATGGCACCCGCCCAGGTGAGCAATTTGTCGCGCGCCGAGCGATCTGATTGGTCATCCATTGCGATTTGATTGGCGTATACGAAAGATCGGGCGCCGATTGGCTGCAATGTGACACGGGCTCATTCCAACGCTGGCGCCGAGCTTTCCAACGCTGCCGATACAGACACGCAAGTAAGTCACGCGTACAGAGACGGGATGGCGCGTTGTGCTTAACTGCAATGTGTCGTCTGATTGGCACTGTGTTTGTGTCTATTTTCTGGCTCGTTGCTAGACGGCTGTCAGTATCAAGGCCAGCACTTCGTGCTCGCGCTTGAGATCGACCGCCACCTTCCACGCTGTTGGCCGCCTTCCATGCCAGCTACATTGTGACTCACGATCATCATACGCATCCGTTGGGCGCTTAAATTAGCGAATAAACAACATCCTTGTCACACTCGGCACTCGTGCGTTCTCGGCGCCCAGATTGAATGCACAGTTGCGGTTTCCTAGACACCGTGGTCGGTATCCATCGTGCAGCGCCGTGCATGAGTCGGTACATGGTATATCGCGTGGCGCACTGCGAATGCGTCCTTCGAGCGTAGATGCTTCTATGCCAGAGGACGTTGTTCGTCGTTGATTCCCCGTTGCGGTGCTCGTAAAGCGTGAAAAGTGACCAGACGTCTCAAGGCGTAGAGACACGGTCTGGTTAGAATGTTGATTTGGATGATGCCTTGGCCGACCAGCCAAAGGACACGCATCATCACACTTCGTGCCGCACTACTGCACGCATCACATACTTGATGGCACGACAGCGCACAATATGGTCGTTGCGAAGACCAATGTGCCATTGCTCGCATCCGACTACACCAACGGACGTTTATCATTGCGTTTCGTCGAAGGTGTCAACAACGCCTCGTGTCGATATGTTGAGGGTATGTCCGAGGAATTTACCAGTATTTGAATAACTTAATTTGTCGTGAGCACGCGGACCGAGTCCATCTTGGCCCGACAGAGCGGACAGCTGCTGCGCTCGTACAGCCACGTAAAGACGCAGTCTTTATGAAACGCATGTGTGCACGGCAAGAGTGCGACGATCTCGTCGTCGATAGAATAGCCGCCGAGACAAATCGCGCACTGGTCGTCCGGGAACCGAAGCTCGTGCTTGGCCATCGTCTTCCACGCACCTAAGAGCGCGCGTGGCATTTGCAGAAATTCGTGCAGCATGTGGTGCAAGTCGCTCAGATCTGCGTCGTCGTCGTGGAGGTGGCAGCAGGCGTCCGTGTAGATGTGCATAAGACCAAAGACAAACTGCTTGAGACCGACGGAACGTTCCGAGAGGACGGCGTGGATCAAGTTGTCAAAGCGCTTGCGCGGAAACGGCGTCGCCAGCAATGCGCGTACGCGAAGCACGATGCGGCCGCGGGTGTGAGCTGCCCACTTTTGCAGCTGCCGGCGAAATCGGAGGCAGTCCGAGTAGCGCTTCCGGACCGTCCATCGGCGCTGCGTCACGGGAAAGACGAGCTCAAAGTCGTAGCGCGTAAATGCGTGGTCTCCCGAAAACACAGTGCGCGTCTGCACGCAGTTGCCATACACGGTGAGCATCGCGTCAATAATATTTGAAAATGAGTCGAGACGAGCGATTCATTGGCAGTCCCACTTCGCTGGGAAGCGTCCGCGGGCTTCAAGGATCAAGGCATCTTCTTTCCGATAGCTACTGTACTCAGTGCTGCACCCACGAAGAAAGCTCACGGAGAAGGAGCCTCGACACTCGTTGAAGAACAAAACTCTTGGGCTGGACGTGCTGGTTCGTAGCATGCATCTCGTGCACGCGCTGCGGAGCCAAGGACTGGACATAGCGACGAGTCATTTCTATGGACCCACGTTGCGAGAAGAAGACAGTATCCTTGTCCAATGTCGTCTTACTAACTTTATCGTTTTCAGGTTATCTACGAGTGTATTGTTCTGCACTCGCATGGAGATCGGGTCGACGCTGTCTACAGTATCGGCTTCCAGTGAGCCGGGAGATGCCAATGCGTTGAAGTTGAACCTCAACGCGGCCGGCGAATCTTCGTTGGCTGAGAAAAGCCCCTCAAATTCTGATGGGCAATTGCTCAAGGGAGGATTGTCAGGTGCACGCCAAATGGGTCACGTGAAATCTTCAACCACATTGATGTCCCAACAGAGGTGCGTCTGCCACATAGCAATCTACCGTCAAAACCAAAATCAACTCCGCAGTGGCGCACGACCGCGCCATCGAGAACCACGACACTGGCGCCGACAAGCACGACAAGCAGAGAGAAGTGTCATGCCACGTGTGCCGGTCTCCAAGCCAATTGCTTGGTGCGTTCTCGCCGGCTACACTACGACATCTGCTGCGTCCCGTCGTCGAGGCAGGAGCTATTACATTTTGGGTGCCCTTGGACGGAACGCATAGTACTCGTTACTCTTGACTGCGCATTTCAAGGTAAAGCTGAGCTATCGTTATTGGAGTGGTCGTTTACGCGGCTTCGTTCTCGTCGCGGGTGAAGTGCTGGTGCATCTTGCCGTCGAGAAAGTTGTTGAACTGCTTGCGCTCGTCGCACGAAAACCACATACTCATGACGTAGCGCGCGCCCGTCTCAACAGGTCGCACTTGGTGCAGGTTTTCCATGCCCGAATGAAACATCATGAGGCGACCTACATGGATCGATCGACCAGCGTCAACGTAATGCACACGAATGTCTACCTCGCGCCGGTTCAAACGTATGGTTCTTGTTGTCGTCGATGAACACAAAGAGGCCGCCGGTGAAGTCGATGCCGTAGTCCGAGAGGTAGACCAACCCCGAGTAGTCGTAGTGCCACGTATTGTTCTTATCGACGTGCGGGTGCCTAGCTCCACGTTGCTAAATCGCTCAAGAAGCGCTGTTCGTACCAGTACTCGTCGTGGATCTCGGCGGCGGTCCACGAGGCGTTGCCGATGATGCGCGTAATGAACGTTGGTGCCGTAAAGTACAGCGTCGAGAGTTCAAACTCCTCCATGAGCGCTTGGCGAATCGACTCGATTGTGCTAGAAGAAGGATCAGAATCTCTGTGCGGTTGACTGTGGAGGCGAACCGTTTGTAGAGGTCGTACTGGGCGCGGCTAAAGCGCGTGGGCGGATCGGCCCGGTACAAGTTGGTCAAGCCATCGGCGTCCTTGACAAAACCTACGCCTTGCTCGCGTCGAACGCTTAGAAGATAAGTCCTACCCGTGTTGATGTCCATGATCGTAGGTCCACCGAGCATCGACCGGCCGGCCATGCCATGGTCGGCAATGCCCCGCAGCGCCGTGACGTCGGCGTCCGAGATGAACGCATCACGCACCGCACGACCGCACTTGGTACGCTTGTGGCAGCCGCGCACAAACGGCTGGTACTACAAAGCAGCTATCCATGAGCCACAGATAGGCGCTGCAAGTAGCATACTTGGTTGGAGCACGAGACGTTCCAGCGGTGGCGGGCGGGGACCCCGACGGTCGTCGGGCGCGGAAGGTGCAGCGCACTGCTGGCCTGCGCGTTGAGGTACCGAAGGTACAGCGCGAGCGCACCAAAGACAATAGCTAGCACCCAGAAGGCTGGGCTCGACGTCTTGGTCGCTGCCTTGGCGGGCGCCGGTGGCTTCGGACTCGACTTCTTGGCCATCGTGGATGGAGGCCAAATGGCAAATCTACGGATACAACTGTGTCATCCGGATAAATCGACGATCGCAGGTGGCTTTTGTGAGATGCTGAAGCCGCGAGGAGGTCGCGACAGGCCGACCTGCGGCGTCAGTGGAGCGAAGCAGGATAATGCATGCTGCACTGCGACATGGCCCCTTTGGGTCACTGCATAGACACATGCAGGGCAAGTGGATTTGAAGCATGCTCGAGGGACATGGAGAACGGCAGCCAGCTTCCTGCAAAGGCTAGCAGCACGTAAGCTTAGGACATTCATGCATCAGCAGTTGGAGCCCACGAGGCAGCGGAATGTATCATGAAGTTGCCAGCGATAGGACATCATGGTTATTGGCTCGACACGGTATCTTGGTCGTTGTATGGGGCAGGGCGAGGTGCGCATCGAAGCGACGCGGTCCCGGTCGGGCGCTCGTAGCAGCGGCGTGGGCGGCCTCCGTTGGCCGCGAAGCTCAATCAGCCCAAAGCTCGTGCTGTGGCGCTGCGGTTGTCGACGACGTAGCGGATCGCGACGACCATCACGCGCGACGCCTGAAAAAATAGTATCTTTTGAGCCAGTTGCCAACATTCTCGGGTTCGAAATTCCTCATTTTTCAACAAGTCGTCGCGGTAGCAGCAACATGCAGCGTGGCGGCCTCGTGCGCATGGTGTCCATCTCGCCGGACATGGACACGAGCGAGTCGCTGCCGTACGTCTCGGCCATCGTCTTTGACTGGACCAACGTGCTCTGCCCCACGACGTGGCTTCAGGGCATCACGCTCGCGGCCGCGAAGGACGGGCCCGAGTTCCACCTTGTCGCCGCCTCCTTGCGCCAGCTCGACACCGACATCCTTGCGCTCCTCAACCACGCGAGTCGCCTCGGCGCTGTTTACATCACCTCCATTCACACACAGGCGTACCTCGAACAGCTCTGTCGAGCAGTCTTGCCGCGGACGGGCCAGCTCCTCTTTCATCCGTGCTCCAGCGTCCAGCTCGTGTGTGCGTCGTCAGTACCGTCACCGACGTGGTACGCGCAGGTTCTCCAAGCAATCTACACGCGCACCGCGAGCCATGAAGGCATCGACCAGCCCATCTCGGTGCTTGCCATCGGCCACGACCAGACGTGGCATTGGAGCCTCGCTCAAGTGAGCCACCACGTCGTGCCAAAGCGCTTGGTTCTCACAACGCTCGAGCCCAACTTGCCCGACTGTATCGAGAAGCTCAAGCAGCTCGAAGCGATCCTAGACGATGTCGCCTTCCATCGCGGCCCGCTGCACCTCGTCGTGTAGTATCCCCTTTCCTCAAAGGACTCCTTTCCTTTTGCTATAAGTCTTGCGCCATGTACAGCAGCGGCAAACAGGTCGAATATTGCGAACATCGACTCTGTGCAGTTGGCAAGTGGCAGCTGTGGGCCACACGACGACAGGGCTGAGCAGAACGCATTCAAGCACTACTGCGCTCGCTCACTGTGCTTGGTCGGGGCGTGAAGTAGGCTACCGCTGCATGGCGCCCATGTGATTTGTTAGCTTGTTCGGAATATATTGGATACGGGCAGCAGTTGCACATATACCCTATGAATATGAATCCGAATGGGAAGACTCTCTGTCAACCAGCGACAATGCAACCGAGTGCCGAGGTCCCGCGTGAGAGAGTCTTGGACCTATGTTGAGATGCTCCTGCACTGGTACAGGCCTTCACAAAGGAACTTACTTCCTGTCTTGGTATCTTGGGGCGGACCTTCATCGATTCGCCTTGCGAGCGGCCATCTCGATCGCGAGTGATGGTCGTTTCGACAAGCAGTCCTTTTGAAATACGTTAATCAAGTCGATGAGCAGGTGTTTAAAACAATAACGACCATCATTCCTATTTGGATCTGCGTGACGTGGATGCTCACTTTTCATTTGCTCCTGTTCGCACCGCACCACCAGCATGGCTTCCGTCGCCCGTCGCACTGCGTACACTGAGCAATCGCCGACGACATCGACGGCACCAACGGTATTTATTGTCTCGTGGAACGACTTTTTGTGCCCGACGACGTTCCTCAGCAAGCGCAAGAGCAACCAACACGTGACCAAGACCGCGTTCGCCAACTTGGACGCGAGCATCGAGCGCTTTCTGCTGCACGCCAAGCAGTTTGGTACAATCTTCGTCCTCTGCGAAGACAAGGCGGCGGCAATCGAAGCGCTGTGCCACAAGTGGCTGCCTCGCACCGCGCGCCTCTTCTCTGCCCGCGAGCTGCACAGCCAGATCCACTTGATTTGCGCCGCAACCGCCATCACGCCTACGTGGCACGCACAAATTGTTTACTCGATTTGCTCGCCGCGGCTCCACGCTGGCAACATCGTCTTGGCCGTGTGCGGAGGCGCCCGTTTGCGCGCCAGCTGCCTCGAAGTCGCCAAGTTCGTGCCGGTCGTGCCGAAGATTTTTGCAGCCACTGAAGCGGCGCCAACCGTGAACCAAGCAACCAACCTCTCGCGCATCGTGGCCGACAACCTCTCCAAGGCCATGCAGCACCCAGGTCCCCTCGACGCAACTATTTAAGAAGACCTCTCGGAGCGGGTATCCCATGTTCTCGCAGCTCGCAGCTTTATATACCATAATGCGCACTACTAGTATTGTATTTACACTGCACATAAAGAAGTTGGCGCTACGTCGGTGCAGGTCTGGTCGCAGCCATCGGTGCCGGAGCGGTAGAACGCGGTGCGACCCCCCGCTGCTGCTTTTAGGATTTTTAGACGCGGAAGTTTAATTTTCAATTGCGGCATCAGCAGCTTGTAGCATCTTGTCACCGCGAGCCGTGAGATGCGCTAATCAGCGTCACGCACGCGAAGTAGCTGGCTCAAACGGCTCAAGACAGAGTCCTCAACCTAGTTACCAACAGCAACAACGAGCGCGGTCAAGACACAGCACCACTGGATCTCTTCCAGCGTCTGTGGCATGCAGGGCAGACATGTCCGCCGTGCATCATTATGCAGGCGAAACCGAGTGGAAAGGTGATCGTAGACCCTAGATCCAGACCTATCCTCGAGTGCTGGTTGTTGCTTCTAGAGTCCGAGCATTGTAGGGTATGTACAAACTGTCTACTTCAACCCGCTCTGTCGTTCGTGTCTCGTGGACACAACTGTATCTCGCCTTCAGTCAAGTACAGTCTGCACGAAACCGAACATTGCGATACAAATGGTCCACTGCGCCAACGGTCGCTGGCTATATCGATCGCGTGGTCTACGCAGACTTTGGCACTGTCTTGTTGTCGCCCCTCCTCCACGGACCTCGTCATGCGTCGCACAACGCTGACGCAACACACAGCAAACATCACTATGCCTGCACAACGGAAATGCTGGTCTCGTCGTCAACCTGTCCACGGGGCAATGACATCGGTCAGTTTCCCAGCGATTTACTTCGAGGCGCCGACGGCGCAAGGCCCATTTTACCCCTAAATCACTAGCGCGGTGTCGAGTGCTCGCGATTGATGTCTCTCTCAGGAGCGTCTTTTACTTTGCGTTTCAGTTAAACGGGCAAATGCTCTGGAATAACGTTGTATCCTGATGAAGCGCGTCCTTGGCTTGCGTGGTGATGCTCCAGAAGCTTCCCGCGCCACCTCCCGACTTCGTTCTCGAATCTTCTCGCGCCTGCAAACCGATGCCAATCTGCCCGCGCCACATGTACGACAAGGCCATGGCACGCCAGCGTTCTCGCCAAATTCGCTGCGTCGCAAGTCTTCTCCGAGCGCGAGCTACTTGCGAACGCATGTCGCGCCTCCGTCAATCGAAGCACGTTCGTTCGCATGCGCCATCGGTGGCGGTGACCGCGGATCAGGCTTGGCCAACCTCGTGCGCCACGGCGTCGCCGTCGATGTCGCACTTGAATCGACGCGTCAGCGCTGGCAGGTGGCAAAAATTGGATCCGTGCCAAGTGGCGCCCCCGATCCCATTTGATTTGGCAGAAAAGGCAAAGTGATATGTACACTATTTAAAAGTTAGTAAATAATGTACATTTGCAGTCAGCAAAGATCGAAGATCGCCGATGGAGCGCAAGGCCAAGCAGCGTGGCGCCCGAGCGGACGAGGCCAACGCGCCGATATCGGTCGTCGAGTACGATGTGCGGTCGTCGCGGGCGCATGCGCCGCCGCTGGCGCAGATCTGGCGCGCAACAGACGGCCGCCTCGTGGCCGATGCCACACTGAGCACGTCGCCACCCCGCAGCCGCCCTACGTGGCTCTTGCAGTGGGCACCTTGTGCGCTTGATGGCTGCGATCTCATATGCGTGTGCTGCACTAGAGCTATCCGTAGCGAGCTCTTTGACATGTTTCTGCCGGCGGGGTACCCCCATAGCGTCACCGAGGTTCGCCTAATGTGGTTCACGCCATGGACGCTAATGGCACGGTGCTAGGACTACCTGCCTTTTCAGCTCTGGGATACGTGCCAAGTGCGCTGATCCGTTGGCAGCAAGCCTCGTATTCACGACTGTCATGTAGGCTATGTGCAGCTATCTTCGCGGCGTCCTCGCGACGCAGTCCGTCCTCGAGAGCGTTGGCGTCGGCAACGGTACGTTCATTCCACGACGTTTGCTCCTATATGAGCGCAGAGGCCATCACGCCCCTCGCCGCGGCCTTGCAGTGGGTCATGCGCGACGGTTCCGGTATGCTGGGTGGGCTCTTCTTCGCATACGGCGTTGGCCCCAAGTTCGACGCGAACGTCAAGTTTTGGCGTCTGTATGCGGACGTCATCAACGACGTGGGTCTGACGCTCGGTACGAAGCTCTGGACTGCTGGGCCATACCTCGTGCTAGATATGCTGGCGCCTTTTGCACCTCGCTGTGTGACGCAGATCCTGTGCGTCTCGTCCGTCTGCAAGGCCATGTGCGGCGTCGCCGCCGGAGCGACGCGGTCGTCGCTGACGGCGCACTTCGCCAAGACCGACAACATGGCGGGTGTGGATTCTAGTGTAAAAGCAACGCCACGATGCAGGTTGCGCATAGACATTGCGGCCAAAGAAGGGTCGCAGGAGACGTTTGTGACGCTGTTGGGACTGCTCACCGGCATGTACTTTGCCAACGTCGTCAACCAGTCGCGCGCCAGTGTCTGGGTCGCGTTCCTCTTGCTGACTGCGATCCACGTTGTTGCCAACTACAAGGTAGTTGAGGTTGATGACCTAGCCCTACTTGACGGATGACGAGCTTAGGCGGTGACGTCACTTTGCATTCCGACGCTCAACCAAGCCCGTGCGACGCTTGCGATCCGCTCGTTTCGAGGAAGCCAGACGCAGGTACGACGATGACGCGCAGAGTCAACTGCAACCGTGGCACTCGGCGACCAAAAGACAGATGGCGAAATGATACTGGCGACGTGTAGAGGCTCAGCATTGCGCGCGTGAACGCGATGGAACCGATCTTGCCACGACGAGATGGCCCTCGCATTCTTCTCGGCGGGCGCCTCCCGCCGTCGCTCGACCTCCCGTCGCTTCTTGCCCTGCACAAGTATATTTTTTCCTTCCAAAAAGCAAAAAATGTCAAAATTTGTATTGCTAGGGACGACCACTACGTGCTGACCGTGGACGCTGCATCGTCCACCGTCGTCGCGTCGCTCTTCGTGTCTGCGACGGTAACTAGTCGCCAGCACATTTACACGTGGCGCGCTGAACCTGACCTCTTGTCGCATGTGTCTAGCCTATGGACGAACTCAAGGCGTACTTCAACGCGGTCGTGGTGGCCGACGCCGGGGCGCCAGCGGCTCTGTCGGTGCTGGCCACGGCGCATGCGACGACGACGACCGAGTTTTCGGCGTTTGTCGAGACGATGGAGAGCCTCGGGTGGACGATGCACGCGTCGTCGTTTCCGCTGTCGACGCAGCCGACGCGATATGCGATTGCCCGCAACTAAGTGGACTACACTAAACGGGCGTATATACGGTTTGCCGTTGTCTTGTTCTCCTGGAAGTGATGGGAAATGGGTCTTTTTGGTATGCGTCACAGCGGACTGCAACTTTGCTCCCAACAAGAGGGTGTGGCAGTAAGTGTAGTTATTTAGGATTGAAATTATAAGATAAAGTAAGAGAGCAGTTCAATGTCGTCGCCTTCGAGGCTTGCGGTGGGTGTTCCGCTGTCGCTGGAGCCCGTCGGGCTCCCGAGGTCCCCGTGCATCTTTTTCTGTGCCCGCGCGAGCTTGCGGTTCTGGCGGTACTTGGTGTCGCTCTTGCGCTTGATGCTGTTCTGCTTGATGCGGTGGTACTCGCACAGAAGAAGGGGCCGGCCCGACCGCTTGGTCGCGCGCTTGAGTGGGCACCGACCCGTCTTGTACTTGCAGCGCGCCTCGTCGGAAATGAACTCGCCCGACTTGACCTGGGACGTGACCGCTTCATGGTACGATGCCTTCATGGCGGCCGAGATCGACGGCTTGAGCACCGGCGGGTGCGACGCGAGGAACGCAATCGTGTCGGAATGGTATGGCGCCACCGCAGACGTGCCGCTGAGGCGCGGTGTATCATGAATGTCCGACTCGAGGAGCGCGTCGAGCGTCGACTGCATGCAGTGCAGGTCGATGGACGGCCGCGAATACTGGTTCTGTGGCGGCGACGACGATACGAAGGGCAGTGGCGCCATCATGTTGTGAAAGTCGGAGTACATGCTCGGTCTTGTGAAATTGAAAACTGATGGGATCGCCACCTGCTTGCGCGTTCGAGTCGGTATACCGAACGCAAGCCAATGACGTGGCAACTGCATACAGTGGCAATACTTTTTTTAGCCGCGCCAGGTTGCCAGCTGGTGCGTGTATCGCAGGCCCGGCTCCCGTTCAAGACATTCTTTCGGCACCGAGTCCGACTATGGCCACTGTACGTACGACGGATGTCTCTATACAAGTGGCGCCCAAGAGGCGCGGGTGCTCAGTTGTGTACGGCGTAATACGTGCCGATGCGCGGCGTGATGCACCGTGGTGCACCACTCGTGTTGACGTCAAGACGACCGTTGCGTCGGTGGCGGTCAGCTTCGCAACACCGTCGCGAATGGGTGCGAACGACGAGCGATCGAAGCCTGTGTACAGAATAGTCGTTGATAAACCTCCCCACGTGGCGGGCAAAGAAGGGCGCGCGAACGTTCCCAACCTTGTCGTATGCACGGCGGCGCTGCGATACGGGAGCTTCAAGGCGAGCAGCGATGTAGAGACTGGCAGGTTTGCATGCAACGCAAGATTAAGAGACTACTCTACACGTCCGCAGCTGCGTGCTGGTCGATCCAGAGATCGATTTTCTCGGTCATCGACGGCGGCAGAAGGTGCTCGGAACCTGCGTCGCCGCAAAGGCGGTCCTTGTAGTACAAGAGGAGCGGGTGCGTCGGGACGCCAAGGGCGTGCAACACGTTCTGGAGGTAGCTCACGTCACAGACAACTTGCGCTTTTCCACTTGCACTGAGCTGCGGAATCGCCAGCAGCACTGACAAGACTGCCGCCATCGCACCGGACGCAACGACGAACGTCCACTGGTCTACGAAAGCGGCAGCGGGGCCGGCGTCGGCGTCGGGAGCCGGGAGCTCCCCGAGCTGCAAGAAGGCTTCGTCTTGGGGCACGCCGAGGACCCGGGCGACGGCGGCCCACGCCTCGTGGCTGAGCTCGACGATGTTGTGGCTGGCGGCGAGCGCTTGCG